GCCTTGGGATTCCCCCGGACGAGCTGGCCCAAGTGGCTGGGGAGAGGGAAGCTGGGTTTTTCTGCTTAGGCTGCTGCTCCCTCAACCCGACCCTGGAYAAGCGGCAGAAAACGGACGGACGGACGGAGAGAGGAGACACTAAAATCTAACATTTTGACATGAAGAGCATATTTGGCAAAAACCTAACGCCCATCATGCAGAGTATACCATCCCCTCAGTGAAGCATGGTGGTGGCAGCATCATGCTGTGGGCAGGTTTTTCATCTGAAGAGACTGGTCAGAGTTGAGGGATAACTGGATGAAGCAAAACTGTTGGAGTTCCTGCTGAAATGGAGCTTCACCTTCCAGCAGGACAATGGGCCTGATGCAAGAACATTTTCGTATTCTTATCATAAATTTCTCTTACTTTTGTTAAAATGAACATGCCACGTCAGATTCAACAAACTCTTCTATCTTCAGGAAAARTGTATAAATGAGCTGCGTAAACTGATGGATGCGTATCAGGTGCTTTTGCACGATGAGAGGAGATTAGCATAATTACCACCCCAAAAACACCATATWAGGATATACGTTTCCTGCCCCACATACCAGGAAATTTTCATTCATAAATGACACCGCAAAGTAAAAAGAAGAACTTTACAAGTTTGGGGACTGAAGTCCTGCTTTCAGAGATCCAGAAAAGAAAATCTGTTATTTTTAGCAGCGTCGGTAAGACCTCATTTTGTAATAACAACGCATTACATCCCTCTCACCCATCTAATCTTTTTTTGCAGAGAAGCTGTAAGCTGTACGGAATGAACAGTTTCCCATCAATTTCTGAACTTTGGCCCGGGGGGTCTGGGGACTGGATTCTTCTGGCCCCCCTAAACTCACTTACTCCTCTGGCTAACAAAACTTGCTCTATGCATAGTGCGTCACAGTGTTGATACAGGGGTGCTCAGCCAGTCGATCGCGATCGACCGGTAGCTCGTTGGCTGGTTCCCGGTAGCTGACGGAGCGCAACCTTCCTCTAATAGCTGAGAGCTGGCTCGTCAGCTGAGAGCAACAGTTGTGCTCCGGCCCGGGACTCTTGTCCACTCGTTGAGTTCTCCGGCAGAAGCGGTGGAGGTGGGAGGTGGGAGGAGTTTACATTCCAGTCTTGAACACGCTCCCTCCGCCCTCCCCAGCACAGCTAACGAGCCGGCTCGTCAGCTCCGCTCACAGACGTAGTCTCGCGAGTTTCGGGTGCGGTGAAACAGCACTCCGAACACGGYCTCGCGAGACTTTAATGTCACGTGTTCACAACAAAGCAGCGAGGCGGGAAAAAAATGAACGAAAGACAGCTAACAAGCAAATAAAAACTTATTATTTTCACCTGGAGTGGGAAGAGGACTCATGTAAATCGAGCGCTGCCTTGGCTTGTCCAAAAAGGATAACGTGGAACTGCATTTCTTTCAAAACAATGCACAAATGCTACAAGATGGATGCCCCCTCCTAAACTAATGTAATGCAGTCCCGTACCTGCCTCAACACAAAAAACACCATGTTTCAACGACGACAAATTTATGAAAGAAGCATTTGATGCTGCAGACGTGCTTTTCCGTGATTTTTAAAATAAAAGTGGCTGCTATAAGACGTGCAGCTGTCCACCAGGATGGATGGATGTGTCCAAATTCGTGTTTCAGCTTGTCAACATAATTATGGTGTGATTTATTTTCAACTAGAAATATCTTCAAACTAATGAAATATAAAGTTATTAGGGAGGAAAATTAGTCTGGATAACAGCAGACTGACTGCACGTAAAATATACGACAGGTCTGGACCACTCGTGAATTTTGTTCATATCTGAAAAAAATCTTACAATACGAGAAAATTGTTGAATGCCACAAGTTCTCCTAAATCACTCGTACGCACAACTTAAGAACRAATCTGTTTGTACAAAAGGTTCTTGCATGAGGCCCAATGATCCTAAACACACTGCTGAGGCAAGACTCTACTGTTTAGAAAGAACGGCCCAGTCAAAGCCTAGAGCTTAGTTCTGTGAGGTTATGGTTAGGATAACCCAGGAGWAACAGGCAAAACTCAGTCAGCAGGTTTGAATTGAATATTAAAGTGGGATATTTACTGTCACACTGCAGAGCAGCGTCTGCGCAGACAGTTTGCACATCTTTCAAACATACTAAATATAGAYACTAAAACAGCGCTGCAAACAGTTTCAAGGTCTGATAAATCGCACTCCAGGTGTAAAATGATTATATCTACTTATTCTCCGCCCAGTATTTTGCACGATCTGCTAATCTTCATATAATCTGCACATTTATGAAGGCAGACTCGCTAAATTTGTTGAGGCTGCTGTTTAGTTCATCATACAGACGCAGTCCTCGCTGCGCACCTTTAATAAAGCCGCTTTGTGTGCTCCATCAGGTTTGCTCATGGTTTTATATTTATAGTAATTGTTGATAAATCAAGACCTGAGCATTTCTAGCCATGCGTCCTTCATCCAAGGGACGCAAAGGTTTGATTAAATCTCAGTGTCTCTTGGGAGAGAGCGATGCACCCATATGAGGCCCCCACTCATTTGGGTTCTTTAGCCTGCAGATGGTTCATAATGTGGCTGCTCGTTTCCTAACCATCTTTTAGGACCAGCTCCTCCTCTGGTCTGTGTCTCCAAGCTGAGCTTCCTCATCACAGAGCACACCCACCCAACCCATGTTAAAATGGGCGGGACAGAAGAGGAAGGAGGTTCTTGAAGAGACAGAGGCCAATTTCAAGGTGTTTAGAAACAGATATGAAGAGAAGTCAAGTTTATTTTCTATTTAAACATAAAACAGCTTTTTAATAACAACTAAAGGTGACATAGTTATTTTATTATGGTATAGTATTTAAATATATGCCTGAGAAACAATATTGCCCCTTTAAAGGCAAGCTAAAAACACTTGTTCACACCGTCTCATGTGTATTAACTTCTACATTTGTACTTTTATTGTTTTTTTGGTGTTTTACCTGTTCTAACCTTTTACTTTGGTTTTATCTCCTTGTAATTTTTCAGCACTTTGTTTAAAAGTGCTTTGTAAATAAAGTTATTATTATTATTATTATTATTATTATTATTATAATTATTATTATTATTATCCATCCCCACTCACCATAACCGGTTTGCAAAAAAATTACTTTCAAAGTTTTAGCATGTTGTATTTATTTCAAGATACAAAMTCAGAAATGGATTTTAAGTTTCATGTTGTAAAGGAAATAGAGAGCATGGATWCTTCTGCAACAAACTGTATTCTTTTTCTCACAACCAGAAACCTTCCCTTTTTTGTTATTTTATTGACAGTTTACTGATGCCTGGGCTCGGTGTGTCACATCTGACTGTTAGCAGGAGCAGGTTGTTTCTAACAGGTTCTTCTTGTCCTTCACAGGGGCTTGATTTTGCCAGTTTCACCGGCTTCATGTTCCTCGGCATATGCCTCGTCCTTCTCACCTCGTTTCCTTTCCTGCGGCTGCTGTACTGGAACAAAAAACTTTACAACAAGGAGTCCATTGAAATAGTTGGTGAGCAGGTGTTTATTTTGATCAAATGAAAGGACGTTTCCCCTCAATGAATTTGTTTTCTTCCAAACCATTTTACAGGAAAAGCATTTTTWAAATCTATTATTCTTGTAAACAATGATTATTAGTCATCGTGGAGCTGAACAGGGTTTAAATAGAAGCAAGAATGTACATTTTTCTTTGGAACAATTGTGCAAATTATAACTTGACAATGACCCATAATGACTACAGTCTGTTTCAAGTAATTTGCACAGTATTGTTTTCAAACTAAGTTTTATCTAGGAAAAATGAGGAAAACAACAGCTCTATTTTTGATGGTGATGAAACTTATTCTGCATCTTTCTCCAGCTCAGAGCCTGGTGACTCACCCAAACGCCTCATCTCAGAAAACCCCTGAACTCTGATGCTCAGCTGCTCACTCTGACTAGTTGGCAGCGATTAAAAAAAATACTTCTACCATTCAAAGTGTAGCCTGCTAGCCCAGGACTTCTTTTTTCTCTAATTGTGCTGTTGAAGAAACTACCTCACTAATTCGGTACACCTCAGTACTTTTGTGTTTCTGTAATTATCCAGCAGCAGAAAAGAAACATGATCCCATCCCTGAAGAGTTAGTGTCTGGAGGCAAACAGAGAAATTAACACCAGAGTGTGTTTGGTTTGAGTTCTTTTATCCTCCGTCCTAAAATCTTTTTTCCCAGCATCCATGACTCTGTGGACTGAAGTAGCCTAATGGAGGAAGCCATAAAACAAAGACATCTGTTGGGAAAAAAATTGGCAATTTTTCTGGCGTAACAATGGTCTTATTATTGTTACTCTGTGAKCCAACAATGTTTCCTTCCCCCTTTTGAGACAATCTCACTCTGGGATCGTTAAACAGAGACCACCAAGCTCCCCGATGACCAACCTCACAATCCTCATTAAAGGAGAGCCTGTTTGGAGCGGAGCTGCCACGCTGAGGTCCACACAGGCTCCAGGAAACGATTGGTGATAACTGAGGGGACTGTTTGGTGCAGCCCATCTTTAAATCCCACCCTGTGGAGCCTCTGCTTTCCCACCAGCAAGTAAATCTGCTCAACCCCCCCCCCCCCCGCCACTCCTGGTAATTGTGCTGATTTGCTTACAGGAATGTTTTTGACTCTTCTGCTTAGATTCTATTATAGTCACCTAGCAACTATCTATAAAAAGAAGCAGCTCCGACCGATATCAACACGAGTCCAGAGCCCTCAGGYTCCATCTTTGTTTGAACACCGGCTGTTCCTGAGCTGGTCAATATGCTCCGATGTCTGGCTGCATTAGTCCCTCTAAGGGGGCTTCTATTGACCACCAATATCATGTCTCTTCCTTCAGCCTGTGTCGGCCAGGCAAAAAAAGCTGCAGTTTGTTGCTGAACTCCATGGGTGTGACTGTTTGGTCCGGGCTCTGAACAGTTTGTCGTGTTCTTCCAGAGCTCAAGCACGAGATCCTGGTTTGGAGGCAAACGGCTCAGCGTATTAACCCCGCCAGCCGAGAGGAGACAGCTGTCAAATGCCTTCTGATGCAAAAAGTGCTCAACCTGGAAAATCTGCTCCGCAAGATGATGAAAACGTTCCAAAGGTCAAATAAAAAGCTGTCACTCACTTTAACCAGCTCTCACAGGAACACAGGTTTTTTTAAGAACCATACATTTTATCATTATCAAAAATAGATTTTAAAAAGTTCTCTTTAACATGTTTTTAATCACCTGTTTCAGAAAGGCAGAAGAAAAATGTTTTTGTTTGGGTCTGCATGTTTATCTGACCTAAACTGTTAACCTGCAAGCCTAAACCAAATTAAATGAAGCACTTCTCTTGAACCCTTTGGAGTAAATTCACAAGCCTAGTCTCCRTGTAACACTCTCARTCTGCGTTTTTAACTTCATCAGTCATCATTTTTGTAACCAATTAGTATTTAGTTATAGAAGGCAAAATACACTATGACCATCATTTCTTTATTTCCAAAGCAGCAGACTGAATGAAAGGTAACGTGATTGGCTACACAGCTCTAGCGTCAGAATGAAGCTCAGATCTGATTGGCTGATTCGAGTCAATCACATGTACATGTATATACAGGTGGAACATGCCACACATTTTGGGCTCTGGAGAGTCTATAGATGAACCCAGTTGATCAAATGAGATGTCAATCAAAAGAAGGCAACCAATGGAATTGTTTGAACAGACTATTATGCAAATTCAAAGTCCCTGGTAGAGAAGGTCAGGCTATAAAGAGGCAGGAAAGCACCAAAAACTGGGAATGTACCACAGGCGGCACATTTAGGGTTAAACATCCACTACAGTTATTAATAAACACAAAAATGTCTACAACTCAAGTTTTTAAATATTGAGCTAATAATTGGTGTGTTAGTAAAATCCTCCTAAACCTATACTTAAAAAACTAATGAATAAGTAATCATTGTACATAAAGGAAGTCATTGACTTTTGAAGTCACTTAAAGATGCCACAGCCAGCTCATCTTGGGAATTAATGACATAATAACTTAGACAACTGCACATACATTGAGGTGAAATTTGATGCAACAGTAATGATATTGTCAAGCTTGTGGTGGAGATTAGACCAAGACACAGACAACATGTGGACACAGAGGAATAAACTAAAACCCTCATATTAAASAACAGCTGGCCATGGCAATAAAACTTACAGTAAACAGAGGGAGAAACACAAAAGCAACCAAGGGGCATGTGAAAGCAACACAATGACCTGCTGAGGTGGTGGCAGCAGGAGACCGGKTATATAGAACAAAGGTAACAGGGTATTAGAAACAGCTGACCTAATTGGAGACTGGGAACAGGTGAGGGCAGCCGACTGACCGAGAACAAAGCTGACTGAGGGGGAACTGAGGGATGGCACAGAAAACACAGAAGCTAAACAGGAAATAAGAGAATAAAACATAAGAATACGAAACAATAAAATACAGACTGAGAAGATCTAAAAATCACAAAGAACCATGAAATATTAACCAAAATACAAGGATCATGACAAGTAAGATAAACTCTAAACACTGCACATTGCATAAATTCTTTGCTCAAACTTTTGTAACAATTGTTAAAGTCAGCTTTGTTTCTCTGTTAGCAAAATATTTCATAAACTACTGTACACAAAAATGACTGACTCAGTCAGTTTTACAGATATTCAACTAAAATCTAATGTTTGTAGGTGATAATTATTCAGAATTACAACATATTCCTCTAAGAACTAACAGATGAGTTGAACACATGAGTTACTGCATGAGTTCATACATACAGTTTTTTAGATTTGATCAAAACATCTATAAATTTATAATATCTCACCATTAAATGATACTAGCTGAGCTTAATAAGCTTCAGTTTTATTGTCTGTTAACCTTTGGAGGCGTTTAAATTAACAAGAGGTTTAAATGTTGTGTTTGACAGACAAATTTCTCAGGAGGATAAAAACTGGGAGCAAAACATCCAGGAGCTACAAAAGAAGGTAGGCTCAGAGTCCCATTCCTGTCTCACTGTAAGTGTGGCACATCGATGCTATCTCAGTAATGAAGTCGGCCGAGTCTTTGAAAGTTCACTTAAGACAAACGCCATAAGACGTGTGATAAAAATCACCTTTTCATATAAGTCAAAAGGAAATGTGTCTTTTTGCTTCTGCAGCACAAAATAACTGACAGGGTTCTGCTGGTGAAGTGTGCCTCCGTCCTCGCTGTGGTGATCATCATGTTCTTCCTCAATTCCTTCGTTCCCAGCATTCACCTTGATCTCGGTGAGTCCTGCACAACCTGATTTCATATCTCCATCAGTTTTTTAAAACATCCTTGAATAGCGTTTTCTGGGTTTTATTTAGCCTTAGGACAAAAATATTTCACCTATCTAATTCACCAGGTTTTACTTAGTAAATTTTTATTCATATTCTTTTTATGATTAAAACAGTGTAGCACTGTGTCTACATCATTTCTCTTTTTACCAGACAGAATTAACTCATAAATGAAGCACAACAGTAGCATTCCTTGAGGAAATACKTATTGCCTTTCCACATGAGTTAAAGTTTTAAATAAATATCTCACATTATCACATCTGTTAATGCTCAGAGTAAGTGATGAGGATGACTCTCAGCTGCCACCACACTAATATTTATCTYGTGATCTGTCAAAGTCAGAGTTTGATCTATTTTCATGTTTGCTAAGGTTGATAAACCGTGACAGCCACAAATCCAGGTTAGAAAATGATTCCTTTGTACCAGACCATACTTTAAACAGCACAAGGCCAACCAWAGTGCTGTACAATAGACAGACACAACAGAAGTTTAAATTGCAGGAGATTTCAAAAACGGAGCATTTATRTAACAGTACGCATAGAACAGAGTGATGATACACAGTGAGGTTTTGCACCATCTCACTCAGACTCAACGGCAAGGGAGTAATTGTGTGTTTTTCAACGAGACTTGAAGACAGCGAGGGAAGAGGACTGTCTGACGTGGTAGATCATTACACAGTTTTGGACCTGCTACAGAAAAGGATCTGTCACCTCAGTTTGAGACCTGAGTTAGGGACCTTCAGAAGTAGCTGACCAGCTGATCTAAGAGAGCGCTGTGGGACAAGTGGATGCACTAGATTGTAGATATACATCCGGTTATTACTTTGTGAAAGTTTCATAAAATCCCTGATGTGGCTCGAGATATTTTTCTAACAGACAGACAGAAAATGTTAATTTCAACAATTTATGCAAAACATTTCGCACACTCTGTTGCTGCTCAGAGTACATGTTGGAGATAATTTTCAGCTGCTATTGCATTCAWCTGTAGCTTACAATCTGTAAAATCGTCTTATTTGTTGAAATTTTGTGTTTTCTGTGCATAATTAGCTCATGTAATAATTACTTTCTAAATGTTTTAATAAAATCCACCCTCTTTTCATGGCTGTGGCTGATAGCTTTTAGCTATTTAATACAAAATTTGTACGGGACTCGTGTAGCTGTGGTATCTTTTATAWTTTTTTTTCAGTTCAAATATTCCTTAATTTGATGCTTCTTTTTTCTGCCTTTCCATCCATACTGCAACAAAAATCTGAACTCACTGCATGTCTGTAGCACAGATCACTTCTTCAATATGACCCACCGTTTTCTGCATGGTGCAGACAGAACAAAAGTCAGTTTTCATGCTTAAGGCATGGGCTAACACGTTTTATASTGAACTTTGAAGTGATGAGAAAAAATGCATTTATAGTTTCAGTACCAGGTCTTCTCAAAGATACACTGTAAAAAATTAAATGTTGGATTTACTTAACCATGTTATGTTACCTGGTTCCACTTAACTGAGTTGAGTAAATTCAAAGCAATATACCAGTTTTTTGATCAAAGAACATGAGCATGTTGCTTTGAATTTACTCAACTCAGTTAAGTGGAACCAGGTAACATAACATGGTTAAGTAAATCCAACATTTCATTTTTAGAGTGTAGATGAACACAGCTGTGATGTATCACTTTATGACACATGTAGGTACAAAATGTTAAACAATAATTTGCACAAGAGAGAAAAGGTCATTTTTAAGGATGCACAATATGTCAGCATTAACATCGGTATTGGTCCAATAAGTGAAACTGGGCTGATACTAATGTCCGAYATTGATTTCACTTTTTATCTTTGTGTTTCTGTTTTGGGAGGGGAGATGGTCGGTCAAGTTGTATCTATTTGATCATGATAGTGACAGTGACACTGGTTGTTTTTTTTACGGTATCAAAAAAAGACACGTATGTACGTGAGTATACAATAATTTGTATTTGTGTAATATTGGTAAATTAAAAATAAACAAAACAAAAAATAATTAAAAACAAGCTAATGAGGCAGCAAAGGTACTCACAAAAAAAATCACTGAAACAAAATATTGGGAAACACAACCCACGGACGGGGACTAACAGAACACAGAATAGAAAGGTACGCTGACAAGAGAGAAAACTGAACTGAAGACACGGCCATCACAAGGGAGAAACAAAAGACTGAGTGATATCTGAACTTAGGGAAATTAATGTCATAGAGATAAAACTGATAACACAAGTTATACAAGAAACTAGAACACAAACCATGAAAAGAATCAATCTAAAAGATAAAAGATAGGACTAAATAAATGACAGAAAAACACAGATCCTGACAGTACTCCTTCAAGGGACAGCTTTTGATGTACCTAAACGAAACCTCTGATTGGTGGACAGATGGGGAAACTACAAGACAGAGGACACAAAGAAAAACACAAAGATCAATAAACTACAAGTCCAAAAGAAAAAAAATACCCTGGGTATCCATCCAACACGAAGGAGGGTATCAGTATTTCTGATACTTTGTGAAAGTACACCAAATGTGTCTGGTAAATATTTTTAAAACTAGTGAATTTCAAATCACTGCTTCATAAAGAATATGAGACATCAGAGTAAATTATTGATGCATTTTAAACACAGATGTGTTTTGATGTAGCGTCCTTTTTTATTCTGTTTATTTATTTTATTAATTCCTTAACCAGGTGAAACCCTACTGAGATCGAGATCTCATTTGCAAGAGGGATCTGGGCAGAATTTGCAACCCACAACCTGGTTACACAAATATAGAACAAATTAAAACACATACTGTAYACAATTTAAAAACAGAAAACAGTCCTTATTTACAATATAGCCGAGCTAATGCAACAGAAAAAACAAACAGAGAATACAATCATATAAAATATGTGAAAATAGTGTTTTAAACAGTAAAAAAGAAAATAAAACACTATTCAAATAAACTATTGTTTAATTATCAAGAACTACTATAAAAATGAAAAGGTGCATCTTAAATTGTTAACATGAAAGTAGTGAACATGTAACATCTACAGACTGAGTGACTGAATATGTGCTGCTTACGTATCAACCAGGCAGAAGAAAAAGTAAAGCTGCATATAGTTTAGATGAGATTACAATAGTTTAGTTACTTTCCACTGTGTTCCTGTTAATGATATGCATTACCTGAAATGACTGAAGTATCAAAGTATTGATATTTTAATTTTAGAATCAGTTTTAGAGTATAAAGTTCTGGTTTTCATATTTCAGTGTTGACCTGCACATCACTAAATAGAACACTATTAGAAAATATTTTGTGAGTTGTGATGAAGAAAGCTGCACCAGAATATCACTAATGTCAGGTTATAAAGTTTGCTCTGCAGATGAGCACGAAACCTACTGGCTGTCACTTCTCATGACTCCAGCTTTATATGAAAGTGTGTAATGACAGTGGTATCTTCTCTCTCTGATATCTGCGACTGTGTTGTCTCTCAGCAGATGACCTTAACAGCATCTCATTAGTTTAGATTGCTGTATCCACCTCCCCCGAGGTCACTTTGTCATCAACAATGGACAGTTAATTACAGGCAGCGCTCAGGTTACCGCTCTGCGACATTTATTAAATGGGAATGACCCCACAGCAGCGTGTTTTCTGTCTCGCTAGAAGGACAGACACCAGTTCAAACATAGCTCTCATTAATGTATGCAGGTCACAGTCAGGGTCGACTGCAGCTGCAAGCCCGGTCTGTTCAGACACAGTTTCAAAATTAAACCTCGTTAAAGTTTCATTAACTCCATATGTTGTGATTTAATTGCACTTTGATTATTGCCTGATCGTTTGGGTCCTCCTCTGACTGTGGTTCAGTGGGTTACAACTGTAGATATGATGAAATCGTTCTTGATCCTTTTGAAGAAATGAAAAACACTCAGCAGACGCAGTTATTAGGAAAAGTAAATGCAGGATTTAAAGAGGTAAATTCATTCTTTTTAATTGGTTAAATCTTCCTTTTTGCTTATATTCCTTAAATCTTTGTCAGCATGTAACCCTTCACAGCTCCTAATCTTAGATCTTTGTCGTATTTATTCTGTTTCTTTTGTGGCTTTTGTTGCTGCACATTTCTTGTACAATATTCTGTTGGCTCAGCTGATTATTTAATCTATCTTAAAAAGGTTTGACTCATCTGAAAGCTTTTTTTTCTCACTTAAGAAATCTTCAGGTTTATTTTCCTGGCTGTTAAATGGAAGCAAATTAAAGTTACAGTAAAGAGTCAAAAGTGTTTTGTTTTAGCACGTATTTAAAATAAGATAAAATTTTAAAATAAGGTCATAAAATAAAATTAAAAATAAGACAATTTTTTTAAAACAACTTTTTCTTTCACAAAAGCTCTTATTATTGGCTGGATGCATATAATAACTTCAAACGTCAATGAGTGTATTAAATGAAATTTAACCTAAAATAAATATACATGTAAACATGTATGCTAGCCTGGTAAAAACCATCCCCCATGGACTCTGTTGAAGTTTAGAACAACTGGATCTGATTTCACCTAATTGCTAACATTTGGTCATGACATACTGTATGTAGTGAGCCAGCTCAACCGTGAAGGAAGCTAAGCTAAGAAGCTAATAGGAAATTGTGTGCATTGTAAACAATCATCCCCTACTGGGAAGAGAGAAGTACAAGAGCTGAAAGAGATGGCTGTAAATGAGAGCTGCAGGCTTTGTGAGACAAATTTAATTTATTTGGAAGTCTTAAAGGGATCCCCGATTAGCTGTAACATTAGACTTTATATGATAAACATATACTT